AAACACAAAAACAGGTTACGCATAAAGATGGTCATCGGTCACCGGGCAAAAATTTTTTACTGGTTCTGTCATTGTAACACAAAATTTTTGTGTCTTGTAATTCTGGCCGGCACTATAAGTTCGGCCTGAATTACAGCTGTTTTCATAAGACCTGGGACAAAATAAATTTTTGAACCTGACCGCCAACCCGCTGATCCGGTTCAGTTGTTATTTATTTTACAAATCAAACTATCAAATCTGGATCACGTACCAGCTAAAAATACCAGATCGGTGGGTCGGCGGTCGGGTTCAAAATTTATTTTGTCCCAGGTCTTATGAAAACAGCTGTAACAGCAGGAACGAAAAGACTGAAAGACCGCGGTCCGGTCTTAAGGCTGGCAGTCCTGGGACTGAGTAGGACCAGTTAGAGTTTTGATCCGTAGCGGGTTTATCCAGTTTTTATCCGGATACCGGCTCGGTTAATTTAGGTTGGGACCACCAAAATTAATAAAAATTTATGTAATAATATTATTTTAATTCTGGCCGAAATTATAGTCCACTCAAAGCCGAAATTTGTAACCTTTTTTAATCATAATCCCACGTTAAAATATTTGAGGTTTTATCCGGATCGAAACACTAGGACCGGTAGGGATTTATCCGGGATCACGTGATTGCCATATTTAGTAATTCCGGCCGACACTATGTATCTGGCCAGAATTAGCCCAGGACCGAAAGACCGCGGTCCGTCTTTTTGGGGAGTAGGACCGGTAAGACCGCGGTCTTCTAGGACCGGTGACCATCCTTAGCTACGCATAATTATAAAATTTTCTGAAGAAAATTTTTAAGGTCCCAGACCTTCATCTTAAACTTTTTTTTTATTTTTTATTATTTTTATTTATTTTTATTTATTCAGATTACTATGAGTGATTGGTGATAACTAACATTTAAATATGTAGATTACGAACAAATTTAATTTTAAATGATTTATGAAATTACATTATATAATTTTAAAAAGTTGTGGTAATTATGTAAAAGATATATGATCACCACTTTAGATGTAACTGATCATTCCCAAGCTGGTCTTAACAAAAATAAAGGGAATATTCTAAATTATTCTAAGTATATATTATGTATTAAGAAATTTTCTTTGTTTTATGATTTCTAATACTGTCCAAAAATAAGGCTTGATGATTTACATACATTCCAGATATGAGCTTGGACTCGCACTCATGTAACTCAAGTTGACTCGAGTTGAACTCGCACTCGAGTCAGAAATTTCTTGACTCGAGTCAACCGGGATCATGTGGTTGATAGTGCCGGCTGAACCCTATTTGTAATTCCTGCCGGCACTATGACTATAACGGTCTGGGTAAAATTATGGATAATTTTTTTGGCCCGCACTTTAACTTTTGATTCAAATTAACTCAAGTTAACTCGAGTCCTGACTCAAGTCCTGGACTCGAGTACTCTTTGAGTCAAAAAAATTCTTGACTCGTTTTACTCGAGTTGACTCATCCTGACTCGAGTCCAAGCTCTAATCTGGATTTTATTAAAATCCAGATATATGTGCAAAATTTGTTTGTCATACATACAATGCTTGTACTTATGTTTGCGCATAATGCATTTTGCATAAATATTATTACCATATACTTATACTAATAAAGGCGTTTAATAATAAAAAAAGGGGGGGAAAAGATAATTACATTGTCTTTTCCAGTCAGAAAAAAATTTATTATAATTATATAGTAATGGCTCTTAGTAATGATAAAGGTAATAATCATATATATAATATAAACATTTAATACACAATATAATAAAACTAGTTTCTGGCAATATTGAATTTGAATTAATTTGAAGGAAGCAGTACTAAAGAACTTGAAGGAAACGGCTCTAAGGAATTCAAAAAAAGTGGCTTTGAAGAATTTGAAAAAAGTAGTACCAAGCAATCCAAAGGTATATTAAACATGCTAAAATATTAAATTTTTATTTGCAAATACATTTAAATACTACCTATAATTATAACTTATATAATATACAAATATAGCTCGTAAGTTAATAGGTTATCTTATAATTGAATAATAATGGAATTACTTATAATTTTTATTACATTTAATGTAATTAAATAATTCATTTAATGATTAATATAGTCAGTAAGTTATTAGTTATTTAAATTTTAATTCTTTACTTTTTTATTTTACATAATATTCAAATAACTAAATTCTTTATTTAATTAACTATTTAATAATTAATTGTATTACAGATGGTAAGTTAAAATATCATATTAATTTGTTTAATATTTTATATAGCTTAACTAATTATATTCTTAATTTAAACAACTAGATTGTAAGTGATATATTTAATTTACAGTAAATACTTTTATATTATATTTATACTTATCTAATAATTAATTAATTAATACTAGGGTGTAAGTTATAGATATCTGTATTTCTATTATTTATATAATTTATACTAACTAAATTCTTTATTTAAAAAATTATTTTGTAATTCTTTTAGTTGGTAAGTTATAAGTTATTAATTTAGAATTATTACTTATTGTTATAATATTTACATATAATTTAAACTAACTAAATTCTTTATTTAACAAATTATTTAATAATATAGAGAGTAAGTTGTTTATTATAATATTTACATAAATTTAAACTAACTAAATTCTTTATTTAAAAAATTATTTAATAATTTAGACAGTAAGCTGTTTATTTAATCTGCTATTACTTATTGTTATAATATTTACATATAATTTAAACTAGCTAAATTTTTTATTTAAATAGATTGTAAGTTATAAGCTATTTATTTAATTATATTATTACTTATTGTTATAATATTTACATATAATTTAAACTAACTAAATTCTTTATTTAATAATATAGGGAGTAAGTTATTTATTTAATTCTATTATTACTTATTGTTATAATATTTACATATTATTTAAACTAACTAAATTCTTTATTTAAATAGATTGTAAGTTATAAGTTATTTATTTAATTCTATTATTACTACTTATTGTTATAATATTTACATATAATTAAACTAACTAAATTTTTTATTTTAAAAATTATATAACAATATAGGGAGTAAGTTATTTATTATTACTTATTATTATAATATTTGCATATAATTTAAACTTTATTTAAAAAATTATTTTGTAATTTCTTTTAGTTGGTAAGATATAAGTTATTTATGTTATTTATTTAATTCTATTATTACTTATTATTATAATATTTACATATTTATACTAACTAAATTCTTTATTTAAAAAATTATTAAATAATATAGAGAGTAAGTTATTTATTTAATTCTATTATTGTTTATTTAATATTTACATATAATTTAAACTAATTATTTAAAAAATTATTTAATAATAGGGAGTAAGTCATTTATTTAATTTTATTATTACTTATTTATATAATATTTACAAATAAATAATTTTTTATTAAAATAGATTGTAAGTTATAAGTTATTTATTTAATTCTATTATTACTTATTGTTATAATATTTGCATATATTTAAACTAACTAAATTCTTTATTAAATAGATCGTAAGTTATAAGTTATTTATTTAATTCTATTATTACTTATTTATATAATATTTACATATAATTTAAACTAAATTTTTATTTAAATAGATCGTAAGTTATAAGTTATTTATTTAATTCTATTATTACTCATTTGTTATAATACTTATATATAATTTAAACTAACTAAAGTCTTTATTTAAAAATTATTTTATAATTTCTTTTTAGTTAGTAAGTCATAAGTTATTTATTTAATTCTATTATTACGTATTATTTTAATATTTACATATAATTTAAATTATCTAAATTTTTCATTTAAAAAATTATTTAATAATATAGGGAGTAAGTTATTTTATTTAATTCTATTTTTACTTATTGTTATAATATTTATATATAATTTAAACTAACTAAATTCTTTATTAAATAGATGGTAAGTTATAAGTTATTTATTTGATATTCTATTATTACTAATATTTGTATATAATTTAATAATTTCTTTTAGTTGGTAAGTAATAAGTTATTTATTTAATTCTATTATTATTTATTGTTATAATATTTACATATAGTAATTTAAATATCAATTCTTTATTAAAAAATTATTTAATAATATAGAGAGTAAGTTATCTATTTATTTCTATTATTACTTATTTTTATAATATTTGCATATAATTTAAACTAACTAAATTCTTTATTTAAAAAATAATTTTGTAATTACTTTTAGTTGGTAAGTTATAAGTTATTTATTATTTAATTCTATTACTATTCATTGTTATAATATTTACATATAATTAAACTAACTAAATTCTTTATTTAAAAAATTATTTAATAATATAGCTTGTAAGTTATTTGTCAGTTATTTCTATTATTATATAATCTATAAATATTTATTTGTTAATTGAATTCTTTCATATAAAATTTCTGTTACTTTAGTTGGTAAGTTGTGAAATATAGGTTGATAATTATTGTAAATATTTGTACAAAAATTAAGACATATATTATTTTAAATTCCTATTTAAATTTTAGAGTAAGTATTGATTTCAATCTTAAATTTTAGTGTAACCTTTAATATAAACTTTAATAATTTTAATTATTTAAATTTATAGATTTGGAAAAAGTGGAAATACAGTTTTGGATAATTTTATTTTTGAAAAAAAATTGAAATGGATTCCTTATGATAAATTTAAAAATGTTGAATATCTTGATAAAGGAGGATTTGGTACTATATACAAGGCTATTTGGTTTTATGATAATGAAGATAATGAAGTAGTTCTTAAACTTCATAATAATTTAAGTGAAAATTTAAATGAATTTTTAAATGAAGTATGATAATATATTATTTATTTTTTTAATTTGAATTATAATTTATTTATACTAAGATATTATTACTTTTTTATAGTGGAAATATCATGAAAGTTGTTTAGGTTCAGATGATATTATTTATTTTTATGGGTTTACAAAAGATCCAGATACTTTGAAATATATGGTAGTAATGGATTATGCAGATAAAGGTAATTTAAGAGGAAACTTAACAAGAATAACCAAAAGTGGTTGGTATCAAAAATTATACATGTTATTTGGAATTATTTCCGGACTTAATAATATACATGAACAAAATCTTATTCATTGTGATTTTCACGATGGCAATATTTTAAATCATAATGAAAGAAAAATTTATATTAGTGATTTAGGATTATGTAAACCTGTAAAATCATTTTTGAAAAAATATGATATTTATGGTGTTATACCATTTATGGCACCAGAAGTTTTAAGAGGCAAATCTTATACTCCAGCTAGTGATATATATAGTTTTTCTATGATTATGTGGGAGTTTACATCTGGTATACCACCATTTAATAATAGAGCACATGATATTCAACTTAGTTTAAGTATTTGTAAAGGTGAACGTCCTAAAATCATTGAAAATACCCACAATGTTATTTAGAATTGATGAAAAAGTGTTGGGATGAAAACCCATTAAAAAGGCCAACTTCTAAAGAAGTGTTAAATATGATTGAAAAATGGATTGTCTATCCATATAATGTTGGAGATTTTAATGAAGAATTAAAATACAATATTATGGAATTTATAAATGCACCAATTGGACATAACAATAATCTTGCTACTGAATCTCATTCACAGGCATATTATACAAGTCGCTTACTTGATTTTACTAGTAAACAATTGAATGAAATTCTTGAAAGTGAAGATTCACAAGCTAATGTAAAAGTGAATGAAATGCAAGTAAGTGAAGATTTGGATGATTGTTTAATTTGAAATCATTTATAGGTATGTAATATAGTATATAAAAATAATTAATTTTGCAAATATTTGTATGAAATTAATTTTATTTAATTAATTATTTAGATATTAAACCAGATAAAATAACCAATTATTTGTGTTTTTACAAGAATTTGTAGTTCTTTTTAAGTGATATTTGATGTAATACATTTAACAGAAATTGTTGTTTAGATTTATTTAAACACTAAGGCTAGAGTACTAGTAAAATACTTTACAAAGATTCTTTGTTTGTAATTTAAATAATTCCTTTTTTATATTTTATTCATATATGTATTCACTTTTTCTAGAATTATTTAAACACTAAGGCTCTTAGAGTAGTAAATATTTTACCAATTTCTTAGTTTGTAATTTAAATAAATCTTTTTTTTTCAAAACTTTTCCAATTATTAAATATAAATTATCAAATAATAGTATAAGTATATAAACATTTCCAATGTATAAAATTAAAAATAAATAATAATGTAAAATTTTCATTTCAATGATTGATTGTATTTTATTTATTAACTTTTTAAGAAATTATATTATTAAAATGACATTATGTATAATTATACATAATTATTTAACTTTATAATAAGTACTGACAGGCAGTCTAATGGTCAAATTGTAAAATATTTTTTAGAATTTTTTTTTTAGAATTTTTTTTTTTTTTTATTATTTCAGTAGTTATTTAGAATTTTTTTATTCAGATCATATTAACATTTCCTAATAAAATGCATATGGAAATATCCAGCATGTTTAAGTGACATTTGCCTTTTAAATAATTTTCTTAATAACCTTAACACCTTCACATTTGATAATCGATTATGTAATAAATATTTGCACAAAATATGATTTTTTAATTTATATACTATAAAAAATTTTTATTACTAGTAGTTGATCATATATACAAGTTTTTTGGAATAATATCCATAAAAATAATCATTTGTTAGACTTTTTCTATAAATAGGGATAATAATAGTCAGGTCAAGTCGACCTGTTGACCGGTTGACGTTTAATTAAAAAACGTTTATTTATTTTTTTTAAAATAAAAAAAACGTCTATTATTCTTTTTTTTTAATAATAAATGTTGAGTTTGACCACTTTGACGTTTTTTAATCAAAAAACGTTTATTATATTTTTTTAATGGAAAAATATGAAACCCAACATTTTTAACTAAAAAAGAAAACATGTCAGGTTCGACGTTTTTAATTAAAAAAGATGTTTTTATTATTTTTTTTAATGAAAAAACGCCAAATTCAGGTTAAAAAAATGTTTCGGCGTTTTTATTTTTATATATAAATTGTAATAAAAAACGCGGAAACGTTTTTTTTTTTGACCCAAAATATATCGAGTCAATCAGGACATAGCTCATATTTTTGATCAAGTATCAAGTATTCATTTTTTATAAGAATAATTTAGCTCATCTAAATTATCATAATTATTCGATTCATCGTTTGAGATTACATTTTTTGAACGAGTTTTAGTAGAGAAAACAAAATATTTTTTAAAAATTTCATTATTAAGTTTATTTATTTATTTATTTTGGTAAAGCTAACAGTTTCATTATTTATATGATAAAGAACATACAAACATCATGAGAGAACATGATCTAAATTTTGGTGTAAAACTAAAGCCGTACACCTCCCCCATACCAAACCTTCATCACATACGATGAAGTTGTGGTACCATTTCCCATCACATAACGAACGAGATGAGTGTATGTTCACCAAAAAATAAAATAAGATCATTACAAAACAAAAACGCATTTCGTACTTCTAAAAATCTCTAAACTAATAACCTAATTCTAATATAATCTATAACTACCTACTAACTACACTAGTCTAAAACTATGACTAAATTACCGATCCACCTAATATAAAAGAATCCAATCGGGTCCCATATAACTCCATTTTGTCGGTACGTTACCTATCCGCCAAGCCTTGCCCACTCTCTTGACGTGCACTAGATCTCCATATCAACTAGAAGATTCCGTCCTTCCAAAGTCTCCCAGATAAATCTTCTTCATTATTAAATTTATTTTAACTTGTATCGAGCAATAGATTATTCTCCATATAGTTAATCTGCTTTTAGCGATTTTGTGAGTCTGTGTATATTTACACTGCCGATATAAGGCGCAGAATTCTCTTGAAATGACGTTTTGAAAAAGGACTCCTTAATCGGCTATTTATTTTACTTTATATTTATTCGACAATATGGCTTTTGTACTACAAATATTATAATGATACTTTTTTCTCTCATTTAGAGTTACTATTTATTTTTTTTATTATGAATTATTATTTACTTTTTATTTTATTTTGAATGCGAATATGTACTTTTTCTTTTGCGTTAAATATACTGAAATATATTTTTATGGAAACTAAGCCAAGTAAAAAAAATATTTAAAACTATCTTTTTTTTCGTTAGAATTTAATTCGTGATTCGCGTAACAATCGGAGAAAATTACTATTCAATTTGGGGGAGAAAATAAAAACGTTTTTTGCGATTATCTCGTGATTCAGTAATTCAATCTCGACGAAAGTTTTATGTCGTGTAGCTCTCTACGCCTTCTATAAAATAAAAAAAAGATCGTCGAAATTGGACCAATAGAATGTGAGATAATCGCAAAATCAATTTTTCCCGGGGCATATCGGATTCCAAATGCTACACGACATAAAAATGTTCATCGAAATTGAATCACTGTAAAATGATATAATCGCAAATAACTTTTTTATTTTTTCCCCCTAAATTGAATAGTAATTTCGTAAATTTTCTCTGATTGTTACGCGAATCACGAATTTCATTACCTGTTACCATAATATTTAATAAAGTGCAATATTATTTTTTCACATTAAATTTTTTAAGTATTAAGTGATATATTTGGTTTGTACATTAATAAATCATATAAATTGAAAAAAAAACACAAGAAATATGTTTTTTACTGCAAGCAATTTTTTAAGGCAATTGTTTCTTTAAGGTAAACGCTTTCACTATATTTATTTTACGTGAGCTCTATTTGCATGTCTCCGATCACATATATAAATCCGACCTGATTTATGGTTTTATATTAACCTTCCCTTTTTATAAGCGATATACTGGTATTTTTAGACAACATCACTGATAAAATTCCATGCACGTGTAACAAATGACAATTAAAAAAAAATATGAAATCCTAAATAATATATAGTAACTACTTTTTTTTATATACAGTAGAATACATTAACAGATCGGATCTCTCGGATAACGGATAATAACGAATTCATTATGACCAACATGACTTTATATTACGCGTTTCGTCACATTTTCTTCGTTAAGTACAATGTTTTTTTTTTATATCATTTAGAAGAAAAATTTGCTCTTTAATATTTAATAAAATAACTCTTATTAATATTTAACATTTAATAAAACGACATGCTCTTTTAAAATTTTAAAATTTTAACAAGAAAAATTAAGTTTTCTCTTTAATGAGAAGTTACTTATTCTTTAATATTTAATATTTTGGCATATTTTTTATATTTAGCAAAAAATGTTAATATCTGATATTATTAAGTATCTTTATAATACATTCACATTCCCAAAAATTGTTATTTTTTTTTTTAATTATTTTCTAAATGTAATAACTTTATAATATTATTATTTTTATTATATATAATAATTTTAAAATGTTTTGTGAGAATTAATAATTTTATTATTAAAAATTAATAAAATTTTTGATTAATACGTCGCAAAATTACATGTAATAAAAAAAAATATTAATTTTTATAATAAAGACATTAATTCTTGCGAAATAATTACATATCAATAGAAATATTACTCATTACAAGGTATAAAAAAATTATTACGTCTAAAAAAATAAGTGTCGGGATAATGAGTTTCAGGATCGAGATTATCAGTTATGATTTTTTAGGATTATGAGTCCTATAAAATCAGAGCTACTGTATAATTTAGCAATGTAATATATAGCATTGTTTGCTTTATTAAATATATATGCAAATAGTGTGTTTACAACGTTGTAAAAAATAAATCACTACGTTTTGCCTATATGTTTACAATAGTAAAATAGGTATAGCGAAATCGTTTTTACGGTAAATTAAAAGTGTAGTGGCGATACATTTTCTCACTTTTGCAACGCGTCGTATAACGTTCAATAACGACGCACAAAACGACGGATGAATCACGTGATTTTGACGCAGTGTCAACGCTGTTTAAAAATATGAAAAGAAGCTCAAGCCAGGATTTTCATGGCTCAGCTTGGCGCTCACTTCAGGCTTGGCTTGTCGCAGATCTTCAAGCCGAGCCAAGCCAGACTGTGGCTCGGATTGAGCCGGCTCATGTAGAGCACTAGCCATGGCAATAAGTTTTTTTTTTTATTATTAAAGAACAAGCCTAAAAATATATTATTTTGTTGATATGGTCATTATGGTGATACAGGATCATCACGATAGCAGAGTTGATGATGATCACTTTGTACTGTAAATATAATGTAACTCGCAGTAATATCATCGAACAATCATAAAATCTACAATACTAGTACCAGAAATTTCAAAATTTTAAGGATTTCAAAAATCTCAATAAAGAAATGTGCTTCCTTTTACGAAATCAATCAAATAAAACAAAAAGTAAATAAAGTATGATCAGCTAAACTAAAATTTTTTAATTTAATCAAAAAAAAGAAAGATCGTTCCTGATCGACTAAGGTTTGATCCATAAAAGCCATAAGAGAAACAAAATGGAACTCCCAATTTTATCATTATAAAACCTTAACAAAAAACGTGTTTTTATAAACGATTGGCCAATAATAAATTAATATGTAATATAGAATATTCACACGTGTTAAATTCCGGAAAAACTTCTTAAAAATATATAAATAATGTTTTTATAAATTTCCTTTTTTTTAATTCCTTTTTTTTTTTTTTTTTTTTAACAGAAAGTTTTGTCCTCAACTTTCACAAAATTTTACAAGAAAAACAGTTAAACTTCTATAACGACAATTATAATAAAATGCATATTGTCGTTTGTAACGAAGGACCTTCTGGTCTCATATTTGCCCTTTTATTGTCTGAAATTTTTGTTACAAAAAATATTTCCGGAAAAATTACAATTTTTCATACCCATAATTCAAAGAACGAACTTTTTTTAGTCAATAAAAATGATTTTTTACGTCTTCCCAGAAATATATTTGATTATATTTCTTCCGCAGCTGTTTTTAAAGAAATTTTTTCTGCTGAACGATCGGCATATTTTATGGACGAACTGGAGAATAAACTTTTGGAAATAATTCTAAAATCCAATAATAATTTTGTTCAAGTTATTAAAAAAAGGTAAGTTATATATGTTTATAATAAGTCCCACGATTATTGGCGTTAATAATATTTCTCCTAATTTTTTTTTTTTTTTTAGATTTTACCCTACAAGTACCCAATATGACTTATTGGTTCTCGCAGATGGTTATAGCGTTAACCTTCAGGATAATTACCGGTTTGAAAAAGAAGTTATTTTAAAAAGTTATGAATTGAAGGTTAATTTTCAAACTACGAAAAATCAACTACAAAATAATGAAACAGAAATTTTATCATTATTACAAACCAGATATTTTTTAGAACAAGATAATGATCAAAACTTTCTTAAAGTAAATTTATCAAAATCTGAATATGATAATATTGATTTTAATGATGACTCAACTTTAAATTCGATAAAGAATCCTTGGTTTCTTAATATTATTCGAGATGGTTTTGAATTTTTTGAAGTTAATGTTGACGAAAAATTAATTTCAATCACCAAGAGTTCTAACGACTTATTAGTATCCAAAGAATTTTATAAAAGTTATCAGCAGCTTGATGGTCGATTTATATGTGTAATTGGTGATTCGGCACTTAACTCATTTAATTGCAATTCTTGGCATAGAAGGTAAATATACGGTACATACAGTATATACGGTATTAACGGTATGTAATTATAACTCTTATACGTTACTAACGAACATAATTTGTATCATTTAACCAATTTTCCAGTATGTACCTTGGAATTGCTATATCAACAGCAACGATCTTAGCCGAGCAACTTACCGTTGGACAAGCACCATTTGAAATCACTCGTAACAATCTCGACGAATTTTCTAATGCTATGTTAAATTTTCAAAAAAGATTCACGTACAAATTTCAGTCAACGAATATGGACAATATTCTTTCAAAAGGTAAAATTTTTTATTTTTCTTTCAAACCCTTTGAAAAAACGAACATCTCCTTTAGGTTGCCTTGGCTCCCCTTGGCCGAATATGATCGCGTAATAATTTTCAGGGACGTTAATTTATTATTTGATTTTATTTTAGTTACCAACAACATTGTTGATAATTATAATAAACATCATCCCAAGAATATGTTATCGTCCATCAACCCTTCTGATCCCATGTCAATCCTGAATAAATACCCTCAATTATTTGAGATTGATCATACTTTCGATTATAAAAGTGATAATATTCTTAATGGAATAAGAGAAGAATACGTAAAGAATATCAAACAATCTGTACCTGAAATATTATCAAAAAAACTTGATAGAATTAAAAATATGATAAATCATTTTACAATTTATGAATCATATACATTTTGTCATAATGTTTCAAATAATATCGAGTCAAGTAAGAATAATTTATCTTGATCTTTACCATAACGATAATAATTAATCAATTTATATTTTTAGATAATTGGAATCAACCTACAATTTCACGTGATTTTGATTCTAACGAACAAGCAATTGATGAATATGATGATAACATGTCTGATGATTCTAATGATTCATCCGATGAAGAAACCGAATCCGAATCTTCAGATGATATATCGCTTGAAGAATTTTTTTGTGTGGCTTTTGGAAAAGAAGAAATCAATTATGACGCTACGAATTTTGTAACTGATGAATTGACCGAAGAAATATTTAAAGTTGAAGTAGTGTCTCGCTTAAAGGATCCTAAACAAGGAATTCTTAGAAATATATTCCCGTATATTGTAGATATAATTAATAGAACCATTCCATTACAACGTATTCAGGATTGTATTCAACAAATTTCGATTTCTAAAGAACTTAACGACCCTTCACAATTATTAAAACGTTTAATCAATTGTAAGGGAAAGGATTATCTTGTAGCTTTCTTGGATAAAGTACCAAAAAAAGCACTTTCAAAAATCTTACTTTCACTTACTCGAGCAAATATTCCTATCCCATTATTATTCACAAATAAAAATGAATTTTATCAAAAAGGTCTTCGAGTCTTAAGAGAATTACATAGTTTAACATTACAAGATGATTATCATCTATTATTATCATTTAATTTAAGTACGAGCGAATTAATTTCACCATTCACAAAAAAACTTTATCCAATCATTTGTAAACATCGTGAAGATGATCCAAGTATTACTACATCTGGTTCAATTGATATTTCTTTTCATCCCGCTTCTGAAAATTATGGACGTAAACCTGTTGCTATAGCTGAAATATATTTTGAAGAAGATCCAAATCAAATTTTTCTTAGTTTAATTAATAAATTTTCAAGTTTCGCATTTTATATGTTTTTACATATAAATGATCAAGATTTTAATGGAAATACTCCATCTAATGAATTAAATTTACTTATTAAAACCATGACACCGAAACTTAATGATACTTATAATTCAAAAATATCAGTTATATATTGGAGTAGATCAAAGAATGATGATCATTTTAGTAAACGTAAAAAGATAATAAAAAAATTATTAGAATCATATTTCAAATCTGAATGTATTAAAATTGAACAAATTGTCAAAGATACAAATCAATTTATTGAAAAGAAAAAAGATGATGTATTGGAACAATTATCAAAACCTGGAACAAAAATAATTTGTCCACCATTATATATTAAATTATCAACAAAAGATAAAGAATCTTTAAATATTTGGAAGAGTGAAATTGAAGAATCTTTATTCGCTTCTAAAATGAAATTCATTAAATTTGAGAGTAGATCAGATATTTTTCGTGCGACTCATTTGGAACATGAGATTGAAGCATTAAATGATAAGAGATCCACAACGGAATCACAAACAAATTCAAAATTCATGTCTGAAGGAGAAATTTTAAATAGAATACAACAATGTCGAAAAGAACAATTAGAACTTGGTACAAAAGAACAATTATCAATTTTTATTGATTTTGCAAAATTAATTAATGAGAATAATATAGAAAAATTAAAGGATTTTTCTTGTCAAATTGATGATTATTTTAAAAAATATTTACGTGAATTACAATTTGCAAATAATGATATTGAAAGAACTGAAATTAAACAAATAATTGAACAAAATGATATTTCTATACATGATTTTTGGCGTGAATTTATTATATTATCTGAATTAAAATATTCAAATCATTCCAACTTTGAAACAAATAATTCAATTTTAAAGCATCATGAAACGAATACAATATTAAAACAATTGTAAGTATTTTATATCAATTTATTGATTATTTATGAGATATGATAATTTATTTAATCCTTTCCAACTTTATTTTAAATCAGGTATAATGTTAATCAAAAAAATTTACAAGAAGCGTATAAAACATGGATTCTTGAAGGAGAGCCTTTACAATTACTCGATGGTTTATCATTACGTTCTCTTCCAACAAAGTTTTTATCCAATGTTTTGAGTAACTTGATGACGAATGTTGAACGAAGATTAATAGTAATTTCAGTTATTGGACTTGAAAGCTCAGGAAAATCCACCCTTTTAAATTATTTATTCCATTGCGGATTTGCAACTTCAGCTTCAAGATGGTAAGTATTTTTTATAGAACGAATCATTTGGAACGAGTCTTTTTATAGTTAGCCGAAAAATAAACCAGGTCCGGATGATCGGCAATCAGGAATTCGGCCCCGTTTTTCGGCATTATTCATTTTATTATTCTTGATGACTAAGAAATTATTAATTTTTTTTTTTAGTACTAAAGGAGTGTATATGAGTTATCGAACCGCAAATTTTAACGGAAAAATAATTGATTTGTTAATTCTTGATTCTGAAGGAATGGCATCAACCGCTCAAAAATATATTACTTATCGTACTAGTTTTGATAAAAAGATAACACTTTTAGCGTTAATGTGTTCACAAATTGTAATAATTAATACGAAAGGATTAACAAGAGATATTGGTGATATATTGGAAGTATCTTCATGGCATTTAGACGCCCTTAGACATAGACAATCAAAACCAAGATTACATTTCGTACTTCGTGATATGGTTGATACGATAGAAGCACAAGAACCAGCATTTAAGGATATCGTTGATGGACTTAAAAAAATGTTTAAACAGATTCCTGGTTGCGTAGATACATTAGAAGATTTTATGTCAGTTGAACAACAAGACGTTCATTTATTAGAAAATGCATTCTGTTGTTATCAAGATGATTTTCGTCCTCGTGTCGCCAATATTGGTAAAACCGAAAATGTTAATTTACCAGCCGTAAGTATTGAGTTAACTAGTCCATTTCTTTTTTTTCTGATTATTGTCCGGAGCGAAGCGAAGGACAATATATGTCTACGCACTATGAAAAAAAATCGATCACGTGAATTTCTCTGTCCGCCATGTGATCGTCACCACCCAATGAAATCGCAAATTTTAGTTTTCGCTCCGGACTTACAACGGTTTCCGTCTCCTAGTGTTAAAAACATGTAGCGTACGGTGACCTATCTCTGGCACGTACAGTCGTCATTATTTAAATTAAATTCAAATTAATCAATACTTTTATTTATATAGGAGGTATTTCCGGCAAAAATTTCAAGTTTACGACAATCGATCTTAAAATCTGCTTTATTACATAAGAATTCATCGGAACAATTCACAAATGTACAAGGTACTTAAAATTATCTGATATTCATAAATACAATTAATTATTTGAAATATAATTATTAAAGTGATTCAAATTTTTTTAGGATTTATTCCATATATGAAAACCGTATGGAGTAAAATCAATACATATGGAAGTTTTCTTCATTTTGAAAGTTTTAAAGCGATACAAGCATGGCATCAAATGCGTAATATTGTTAATGATATTAAAGAATATAAATTATCAGAATTTATCACAAATTCTAAAATTATAATTAATTATTATGTTAAAAGAATTAAATCAGATTATTCAAAATGGAATCAAATTGAAACAGAATTTAGAAAAGAATTAGATATACTTACAGATAAATGGACAAAAGATAATTTAAAAAATTATTCAGAATTAGTACAAGAACAATTTGATACTAATATTGTAGAAGAAGGTAAAAGATTAATTTATAATATGATCGCAGAAGAAAGAAGAGAACAAGATGGTCAATGGATGTTATTAATACAAGAATATAAAGATTCTTGGTTGTCAGATTGTGCTATAGAAAAAGTTGGTAAAAAAATCAAAGGATTAAATACTAATAATTTAAAAAGGAATGAAGCTGAATGTACAAAAATATTCGAAGAAATTTGGAAAGAGGTAGAAGATGATAAAATAGAATTTAATCGACAAATAGTACTACAATCAGAAAAATTAAAACAACATGTTCAAGTAACATTTAATAACGCTGTTAATGATTTTAGTTCTACAGTTCGTCAAGGTTCAAAACAAAAAGAAAAAGAAAAATTTAAAAGAGATTTTTGGACAAGTATAAAGAAACCATCAACTTTAGAAGAACATATTAGTATTGACGTAGAACAAATTCAAGATATAATAGAAATAAATTATCATTTTAATTTCTTTACCGTAAAGAATACGAACAAAAGAAAAATTGCTGAAGAAATCGAAAGTAAATTGAAACAATCAATTAATGGAATTTCTTATGACCTAAAACAAAAATTATCTCTACATATTGAATATGGGCAAGCGATCAAATGGCTTGGAACATTATGTAACTGTCTATTTGAATTTACACAATCATTAAATAATAAGATTGAGTTTAAATCTGATCTTGATTTTTTTGAGGTAATTATTTATTCATATTATAATTATCGATAAAATTACATGCTTTCACGTATTATTCTAATGTCAATTGTTTTTATTTACAGAAATATTTAAGATCACAAATATATAAGACGTTAAGGAATAATACTATTGAATGGGAAAAACAACAAAAAGAAAAATTGGATAACCTGAAAAAAAAATTATTATTATCATTTCAAAAGATTTTAACAGATTTTTCTAACGAAAGTCTTTCCAAGGAAGTTCTTAAATATATATTAACAGCATTTAGACAACAATTGGACCTGAAAGAAAAAATGATAGATCAAAAACTTCAAATCTATTTAAGAAAAGGTTGGATGGATACACACACAGCAACAAATCATGCCTATAGCCAAAGTTTTGGTGCATTAAACATTAACGCAATTCGAGAATATCTTAAAGATCCAACAGAATATATGTCCAGTCTTTTTAATACCGATTATAATACGTATAGTGAAATTTTGGTAGAATCCATACTACGTGAAATTGATGAATATTATATAAATACGAAAGATAGTTTATTAAAAGGCATATCTGAATGGAATGAATTATTTGATCCGAAACAAAGTTACGATCAATTGCCGTTATCAAATTTTTTTCTTTATTTATCTGGGAAATCAATTTCTTATGAATATAATTCATTAAGAATATTTATGGAACGTAAATATAATATTAACATGAAGGAATCGGTACCAGAGTATGATCTTTCTGACATTTTAAAAGATTCAAATAGTTTGTATGGAAGTTTTACTATTGAAAAACCTATCGATTTTTGTAACTTACTTTGTAAATCTTTGATTGAAAGTCTTACAAGTATGCAAACTATATGGATTAATACAGAAAGATTTATAACAAAAGAAAGAATGCGAGCTCATTTGGTAACAAAAAATATTATCATGTCTTATTTTAATCAACTTGGTTGTTCAGCAAGATGTCCACTTTGTTCTTCAAAGTGTGAGCTTCCAGATGATGGTCACACTCAACATCAAGTATCTAAGCATTTACTTCCAGCTTTTACCGGTTTTCAGGGCAGAGATACAAAGTTTCCAACTTTAATTGTATGTACTGAAGATGAAGCCCATGATAGAAGATGGGGATATCAAAAGGATTCAATTTATTTACCACTCACCGAATTTTTGTCTAAATATCATCCATCGTGGATTCCCTTTCCTCGCTCAGAACCATCTGATGAACATGTAGCAAAAATGCGTGCAATCTGGTGGAGACTTAAAGGTGAACTTTGTGAAAGATATAACATGATTGACAACACTGATCCTTCATGGGGATCCAGATATGGAAGTCTTATTCCAGAATAGTTTGAGGAATAATAGTTAAACCTTTTTTTATATATATTTTAAATAATTATCTTGTGATTATGTAGTTGTTTCAGTTATACTATTTACTATGTACCTTTTATAAATATATTTGAATAAAATCAATTATTAAATAAATGACAATTGAAAAGTGAGAAAGTGAGAACCTATTAAAAGTAAAAAAATATAGGTCTAACTTTAAATTATAAAAAAAATCTAAAATTTAATTTTGGTTTATTCTAAATATTATGACATCCGAATATATGATATTAAATTATTAATCACAATATCTTATCTCATTGCTCTAAATTCATGCATTTTAGTAGTATAGAGATTAGAGACGCGTCTATCCGGATAATCTGCCTAAATCCGATCCGAACCCAGATAACGGATAATTTTCTGGGTGCATCACCCGTCACGCTATCTGTTGGTATAAATAATAGTTATTGGGTAAATATCACCGATCTGCGAAGCAGTTCGGATGATATTTTAACTACCATACCTAATAACTATTATATATACCATAGAGTCCCGAATATAAGCACCCCATAAATAAGCGAATTATGACAATTTTGGCCTACATTATGATGTGCTCGATCGGCTGGCATTACGTGCAAAAGGGATGCTTATTATTGAGACTTTACGGTATTTTTTTTTTAATTTCGGGTCTTTAATTTTATTTTCAGAAGACCAGTTAACGCAAAACACTGAAAGAAATCGAATTCAAATTTTTTTTGGAAAAAAAGATATTAATCATCAAATAATAATTGCTTGTTTATTCAGGATACTGAATTTTATGCCGCTCTAAACTAATAATTAGTTGGAAAAGGACGGGTGCTTTAATCATATTTGGACCTTGTACGATATTAACGTACGAACTGGACGGAGTTAACGTTAACGCTATCACGTGCAAGCATACCTAAACTTCGTACATTAATATCGTACACCCACTGTACGACTGTACGTTAAGGACGCCCCGTGTTTTAATTACTTTCAAAATTTTAAAGAATAGATAAGACGTTATATTAACAAGTGTATCTACATATTCAGTTATATATTAAATTTTTAATAAGAAAAAAAAAATGTGTACAACTTACCTCTTTATTTACGTATGGATTATTCCTACATTTTAATATATTTGATCATTAAAATAAATAACAATTTTTTTATATTTTATAATATGTTTGAAATTGGATATAATTAGCTCAATTTATTAATATCTTCTCATTTTTAAAAATTTCTATAAAAAAAATCATTACTCTAATTACGGTATGTGTCTTTGACATTCACTATTATCTCACCTATTTTTGTTATGTATAATTTGAAGTTTATATATCGCTAGTACTATTTAAACTTTAAAAATGAATTCTCTTTCAATGATGATAGAACGTATGATTTTTCTTTAATTCAAACTATTATATTATTATTATTGTACTATTATTAATTATTTCCCATAGAATTAGTGGTTTGTTTATTATTTTGTAAAATTATTTGTCTCAAATCCTGAATCTCTTGTTTAAGTCCTTGTATTTTATCGTTAGCATTTGGACTCATATTAATTACCGTAGCTGAAGCGGGAGGTTGTATTATTTCTTGTCCGGGATAATAATTAACTCTTTCAGCTCGAATATTATTATTATTATAAATACTTTCATTCCCATTAATATTCATATTATCATTAATTAATGAAGTTGGAGCTGGTGGTTGTATTATTTCTTGTCCAGGATAATAATTAATTCTTTGAGCTTGAATATTATTATAATTACTTTCATTTCCATTTATATTCATATTATCATTAATTAATGAAGTTGGAGCGGGTGGTTGTATTATTTCTTGCCCAGGATAATAATTAATTCTTCCAGCTTGGATATTATTATAATTATTTTCATTTCCATTTATATTAATAATAATAATATTATTATTATTTCTATAAAAATTCTTATTTCTATTTTTATTCCATCTATATAATAATGCGCCTACAAAGGATAATAGAGCACCACCAAACAAAGGTCCAATAATTGCACCAGTAATATTTGGATTATTATTTTTAGATTTCTGTGAAGAAATTGATGGTGATTACGGATGGCAACGGTCACGGTCATTAACCGATTATGACCGGTCATGACCGTGACCGATATCGGTCGGTCAAGACTTCTGACCGACCGTTTGACTGACCGTTTGACTGACCGTTTGACCGACCAAATTTTTTTATGAAAAATTTAATAAAAAACGTCGCGAAATCGTTTTTTATTAATAATTTAATTAAAATAAAACGTTTTCGCAACGTTTTTTTAATTATTTTAATAGAAACGTTGCGAAAACGTTTTTTATTAATAATTTAATTAAAAAAAAAACGTTTTCGCACGTTTTTTCAATTGCCTTAATAAAAACGCTGCGAAAATATAAAAAAAATGATCGGTCAAACGGTCGGTCAAACGGTCGGTCGGTCGGTCAAGGGTTCTTGACCGGCCATGACCGACCGATGACCGACCATGACCGACCGTTGCCATCCCTAATTGTGATGAAGGTGGTAAAGGTGGCAAAGTAGAGGGTGGCAATATAGGTACTGATGTTGTTTTTACTGAAATTGAAATTGATGATGAGGGTTTAAATTCATTCGTCCATATATATTCGTTGACATTACTAATATCGAGTAATAAAATATCATTTTCTGTAGTATAACCTGATCCTATTAAAAATTATTAAAGTATACCTTGGTTAAATTAAATTATTTGAAATTTAAGATAATAATAAAAATATATTTACCATATGATATAACCATATAATTTCCAATTACATTTGCTCTATGTGCATTTCGAGATTCTTTTGGAGCTATACCAGAAGTTTTTGGGATACGCCATACAAAATTTATTAAACTTAATTCATAAAGTTGTTCTTTAGACGTAAAATCTAAACCTCCAAAAATGATCACTCTTTGTCCATCTAATCCTATTTAAATAAAGTTATATCATATATTAGAATGTATGCTGAATAAATAACCTTTATAATATTGTTTGTTTAAATACATACCAAGAATAACAGACATTCCTGATTTTTTAGGTGGTATTGTTCCTGAAGTTGCCTGTATTCAATATAATGAAAATAAATGCATGTTTATTAATAAAACTTTTACAATTAATTTGATAATTTTATTAACTTACTTTTGTAGTCCAATTATCATTTACTGTATCATATATATAAATCTATATAAAAAATTTTCACGATTAATTAAATTATCTATGCGCAAATTATTATTTATTTTATCTGTTATTATTCAAAAGGTTGATAATCTAATGCTACAATTTTGAAAACATTATTCAATTTATATTTTGATTTCAAAAACAAAATAAAGCAATATACCTGTGATATATTATCATTATTGGTATCCTCTAAGTAATAAAATATTAAAACAAAAAATAAATGAGAAATATAAAAATAGTTTATAATGTTAAGATCACACAGAATTATTGACAAGTTCAACAGAATTTCTTGCTTACCTAGATAAATTATCTTATTATCGGGCAATAAAGTGGTAGCACTAGCAAGCAATCCGACATTTGGTGCACCAACCGAACTTCCTTTTGTCCAAACTAAATTAATTGTATCTAAAATTGGAACATTTGAACCAATTCCGGCCCATAAATACATTTTTCCCTTTTGGTCGATAACTGTCGTCGAAGCACTTGCAAGAACCGGGGGAGCATCCCCATTTATTTTCGGAATACTCCATGAATTACTTTTTGGATCAAATGTGTAAAACGTCTTCCATTTTAAGATTGACATCGTCGACTCCTCCACATATGAACAACGTATCATTATTTGCACCACCTTTCGCGGATCCAGCACCAAAATGTGGAGGGACAATATTAACTTTTGATAAATCTGTTAATAATAAGTTTCGAGTATTAAATGGGACAGAAAAATCGATATAAAGAAAATCTTTTCCGACTTTATTGATTTCAGAACCACCCAAAATATACAATTTATTATCAACAAGAGTCGCGGTATGTCTCCGCCGTTTATCGGGTGATATTTGACAATTTATTTCAATTAGTAATTGAAATAAAATCCATAATGAAATATAGACTAACATTATTACGCCTTTTTTTTTTATTGAAAAAAAAAACACTAATTCTGTTAAAAAAATATAAGCAAATTGAAGTTTTATAATTATTACAAATTGTGTTACATTCCATTTTAAGTTTGTACAAAGGCGACGACGAGATTAAATTAAATATAATAATTAAACAAGAATATAAACAACATTCTAGCCTAAACTTCAACAAATCTATACTTATTACTTATTTTAGTTTAAATTCTAATATTATATTTATATTAATGGATTGTATTTGCTAATTTGTGTAATATCAATCTCGCTTAATAGTATTAGTATCAAATCATTGTTTGATCAGGATGGGACGAATCATGTGATTTGTGGTAAGGTCGCTGTGTCACATCAAAATTTTTCATTTAATTCATTTATTTAATAAGAAAATTCTTTTATTAAAAAATTGTTTCATAATTGTTACACGAAATGCATACTGAATAAAAACAAATAAAAATTTTTCTTAATGTAGGAATTATTTTTTAACTAGCATAAATATTATCTAGTCAAGTGATACAAATTAATGGACAACACATTTTCGTATGGTAAGTAAAAAAATATATATATATTGCATACTATGATCATTGATTATTTACAAATATGGCGTTGTGGGCGAATTTGCGAACCTATTTTTTTTTCAAAATTGGCCCTTTAGTTCTAATAATTCTAATATTTTGTACTTAAATGATACCTGCATTACATTAATTTGATCATGTTTTATAAGAAATATAATGAACACTATAAAATAACCGCAGTAGAGTAGGACCCAGAAATATATATACAGGGGTAGGGTACACAGATGCGTCGCCATCATAGTGGAATTAGACGGAGTAAAGTTTTGATTTGCGTACAATTTTAGAATTTTTCATCTATAGTTAGGTCATCAAGATTGCGTATTTTTTATCAAAATTTTTATATGTAAAAAATTAGTTTGCGTATTTTTGGCCTAAATTTGGCTAATCTTATATATATATAATATATTTACTGTACGCACTAACCGCATTGTAATATTTAGTATAAATTGAAAGAAATTTCTAAGGGTTAAAAAGTGAAAATATTATTAAAAAAATGGTAAATTCTATTTTTTCAATTAGTATTTGGTTTTATAAATAATATAGAAGCCATGATAAAATAATTAATAACTTAATGTCTGAAATTTTATTTGCGTATTTTTGCAGGATTTTCAATATCAGGTGTCAATTATGCGTACTACTCATATAAAAAGTCTCTGCGTACAGCTCATAGTAAAAAAATTTTTCGCCACCTGACCCCTATATATATATTTCTGGGTCCTAGTAGAGTGACTAGTTTAAGCGACCAGTAAAATTCCAGCACTAGGATCGCTGGCATTACTTAAATTTGCAGTGCCGATCATTCATGATTCTGCCCAAAATTGCGGGTATTACCGAGTAGTTGACTGATTTACCGCTTTACAGCTATCCATCAACTAACTGTATTATTTATGTAATTTTAGTAAATAATTATAACCAAAATAAACGATGTTCTTTATTTGATAATTAAGGAGTTTAATAATGTTGATAAGTCTCTAAGTCTCTTTGTTTATATCTTTTAATAAAATTTGGCGTGAAAAAATTATTTCTTGTGGAAAAATCCTTGGAAATATACAATAGTTATTATAAGAGGAAATCATTATTAGAAGTAATTATTTTTAAATTTATCAGATAAACAAGAAATGAATTAGATGATAGATTCTATATCTTCAATTAATTTATACAAAAGACCTTTACATTACCTGGAAACGTGTCCGTGTCGGAGCAGAAGTCCCTAGAAAAATCATAATTTTTTTTTTAATTAATTATATTAGTTTTTGTAAACATTTAAAAGATTTCAATTAAGGTGGCAATCATAATTGTTAAATTAAAATATGTAGAATTGAGTAAAATTACTTACTTTTTGTTAATTATGAAAATACAAATATTACACACTGACGCCTTTATATACTCAAAAAAAATTGTTAAATACACCTTATTCCTGGAGCTAAGCGTTACTTTTGTAATACGGATATAAGTGATAGTATTTATAGACATGTGCCAATCAATTAGAGAATTGAAACTTGTTATTGATCAATACGTGGAATTGCTAATCAAATCTCCAAAAAATCTAAAATAATAAATCTTATTCAAAACATTTTTAATTGAAAAAGTATATTATAAAAATACCATTTTTTAGAGGAGTAACATTTGTAAATTATTTAAAAATATTTATATATTACATAAGTTTATAGCTGAATTATATACAAATATTATAATTTTATAACTTTACAGTATAATAAATAATTTTTAATTTAAACTACTAATTAACCCTAACAACAAATTTTAATTACTATAATTCTTGCTATTCATTATATCTCTATAACGATGAAAGATCATAATACTGAATACTGCTTTATCCGCCAGTGTAAAAGCATCAATTATATATAATAAAATGTTTATATCGGAAATATAATTCAAAATCTTTAGAATCACTAATATACAACTTATGCAACTACAAGTAGTATCAGAAAAGTCAAATTTAAACGTTAGTTAAATCAATCTATATTCTTTTTTTTGCTTTATTGATTGATAGAAAATATTTTTAATAGTATAATGAAATCCCTTATAAGTATTATCATGTACCGTATTTGATGTATCATCAGGCGGAGTTCTTCTGAAGGAAGTAAAAGTAATGGATAAACAATCGAAGTCAGTGAAACACAGAAAGTTATCAAAGAACGAATTTATCACAAAGAAATACTCCAAATTACGGTTTGATGCCGTTCGCACTCCTAAACAAATTGAACGATGGAATCGTCTTACTAAAAGCGTTTTCAAAACTGAACATCATTTCAATATGAACAAACCTTATATTTTAAACCCTACTACGAAATGTACACGTAACCTGGTTGTTTTCAAGCAAATACATGTACCCAAGAAATTTATTTGTCCTTATTCCATGATGTTTTCACCATTTCCAAGATCTCAAGAAGAAATCAAAAATCGACAACGTGAAAAATGCCACGAAAAGAATTAGTTACGTCAAACCAGGAAATGCAACAAACAAAAGAAACCGTTACCTCCTTTACCGTCTGATACACTTGGTGATTCACGGATCTTTTATCTCAAAACTTATAATATTAATCTTTTCGACTATAAAGTTAGACGACGTTTTAACGTCAGCACCATCCCTCATTACAATTACAGCTATTGTGAAGCGATACGCTGACGAAATCTCCATCTGGAACATCAATGTTTTATTCTTCAAGACGTTACTGCTAAGACTTTTACTACTAACGCTATTTATCAAATATCCATAAAGGACCAACGTTTGATCAATAATAACGTCTTGAGGTTAAGGTTATGATCTCCCAAGCGATAGTGATATTTGCGTATAGTTACGGTATATCCTACACCAAGGCGGTTTGAGTGAACTTCCTTTACATTTTTCGTTTTTTGAAGCTGAAGGCATTAGTTTCTTTTTTAATTGATCTGCATAAAAAGCGCGGTCACGTGCCATACTTGTTCCTGGCGTAGACTACATTTATGATGTGTTCGCCACATCTCCATCGGTTGTTTGACATCATGACGTAAGCGGTGAGTAAATCACAAGTCGTGCTGCAGCATTTTAATGTGTAACATACATGTTCTCCGAGCTAAATCAGATAATGTTTTAGTGCGTCTATTATTTTTCTTATCAAAGTCTAATCTCTCTTTTATAGCAAGGAATTTTTCTTTAAGTAAATCTCGCAGGCGATAAAATATTTGTATACCACTTGATTAGATTCAGAAATAAAGTAAATGTGAGGTATTTCCCTATTAAGTAATTGATATTGAGGTCGTTACTTGGAGATCGGTATGTATGCTGCGATTTTAAATGAGTATCATTGGTGTATACAAAAGATTTATCATTGATGAAACGAGAAAATATCTGCCCTTTTTTGTATTGTATAACGTTCCACTTCCGCGTGTGTCACAGTTTGTGGTGTATTCGTAACGAAATGAAAATTGATACATTTTACAAGGTCTATATAGGCGAAGAATAGTCTGCGTAGCAGGTGAGTGGGAGTAAGGGTGTCTTTAGTCATAGTATATTTTGAGGAGACTTCGTAAGTTTGTTGGGAGAAAGGGGAAGTTGACGCTTTGGTTAACAGGCCGGTTATAATATCTGTTCCTAGTACAAAGAACAACAGGAAATATAAAATAACTAAGAAAAGTATTAAAAAAAGGTATCTATGTATAAAATATGTTTGTTAAGTATAATGAAACTCTATCTGAGTATTTGGAGACGAACGTTTTAATGATATTAAAAAATAAAAACAACCAATGACGTTAAAAAATGTTGTTCCAAATTTTGTGGGAAAGTTCTATAGTATAATACATACAATATAAGTAAATTAAATGACCACCAATCCATCATGGATAGCTCCCCATGGAAACTTGCCTCTTGTTATGTATTAAGAAATTGATTTTTGCTGTGCAACAATGAGGCTTGATGATTATTGACATATATTCCAGATATTATTCCGAATGTGCAAAATTTGTTTGTCATACATGCGATGCTTGTACTTGTGATCAATGATTTTGGGCATAATGCATTTTGTATAAATATTATTATATTAATGATAAAGGCATTTAATAATAAAAAAAATTACTATTATCTTTTCCAGTCAGAGAGAATTTAATATAATTATATAGTAATGGCTCTTAGTAATGATAAAGGTAATAATCACATGTATAGTATAACATTTAAACATTTAATACATTAGAATTCTAACAAATTTATAATATATATCTAGTTTCTGGTAATATTGAATTTGAAGGAAGCAGCACTGAAGAATTTGAAGGAAGTTGCTCTAAGGAATTCAAAGGAAGTGACTCTGAAGAATTTGAATTTGAAGAAAGTAGTATCAAGGAATCTAAAGGTATATTAAACATGCTAAAATATTAAATTTTTATTTGTAAATACATTTAAATACTATCTATAATTATTTATACCTTACATAATATACAAATATAATTAAACTAACTATATAATGCAAAATAATATTAAATAATTTAGCTCGTAAGTTAATAAGTTATCTTCATTTTTTTACATCTCATATAATTAAATAATTTATTTAATGATTAATATAATACTATAGTCAGTAAGTTATTAGTTATTTAAATATTTAATTCTTTACTTTATTTTATTTGTTTTACATAATATTCAAATAACTAAATTCTTTATTTAATTAACTATTTAATAATTAATTGTATTACAGATGGTAAGTTACAATATCATATTTATTTATTTAATATTATATATAATTCAACTAATTATATTCTTGATTTAAATAACTAGATTGTAAGTGATATATTTAATTTACAGTAAATACTTTTATATTATATTTATATTTAACTAATAATTAATTAATAATACTAGGGTGTAAGTTATAGATGTCTATATTTCTATTATTTATATAATTTAAGCTAACAAAATTCTTTAAAAATTATTTTGTAATTTCTTATAGTTGGTAAGTTATAAGTTATTTATTTAATTCTATTATTGCTTACTACTTATATAATATTTACATATAATTTAAACTTTATTTAAATAGAATGTAAGTTATAAGTTATTTATTTAATTCTATTATTACTTATTGTTATAATATTTGCATAAAATTTAAACTAACTAAATTCTTTACTTAAAAAAATTATTTGATAATATAGGGAGTAAGTTATTTATTTACTTATTTATATAATATTTACATATATTTATAATTAACTAAATTCTTTAATTAAATAGGCCGTAAGTTATAAGTTATTTATTTAATTCTATTATTACTTATTTTTATAATATTTACATTATAATTTAAACTAAATAAATTCTTTATTTAAATAGGTCGTAAGTTATAAGTTATTTATTTAATTCTATTATTAC